TGTCAGGTCCTTTTCTTTATAAGGGCATAATGCTAATTACCACAGGGAATCCCCGCTGTTTGTAACCAGGCAGAGACACTGGAGGTTATGGAAGGTCAAGGATCTTCATGACACTGAACATGAAATGAATAAATGGTCTGTCATGAAATGAACAAAGCTTGACACCTCAACAGACTCTTCTTTTAGCCTTCTCAGTGGCCCAGTGAGGTCTCTTGGATCCTCATTCTTGTCTTCTTTTTTCCCTGGAGGTTCTTAGGTTCTTTCCCAGTGGTAAGACAACATGAGGGGATATATATAAAATGATTGCCAAATGAAGCATTATCAAGTAGCAGACGACCACACTTTTCTACAGCTCAAATGAGCAGCAAACTGTGACAAGAGTGGTTGGCTCACATTTTAAAAGTGCCTCCTCTGTTACTCTTCCTTTTCTGTCCCCCAAATAGGGATGATAAATAAAAAGTACATGTGTCATCATGCTCCCCTTACAAGCCCATGGCAGATATCTTTATTCAACATGGCATTGTTTTTCCTGATTAAACCCAAGGATGTAACCAAAGATGAATAAATGTTGATCAAAATTGGCATTCTTCAATCTACTCCTAGGTAAATACCCAAAAGAAAGGAGAGCTTATGTCTACAAAATCACATGCACAAGAGTGTTCCTGGCAGATATACTCTCAGTAGTTCCAAATTGGAAACAACCCAAATATTTATTAACAGAATGGATAAAATATCACATGCATACAATGAAACATTCTATAGTAATGAAAAAGGACAAACTATTGATACACAGCATTGGAAGGCATCTTAGGGACAGTGCAGAGGTAAAAGAAGTTAGACATAAAGGAGGGACATTATGTGAGTCCTCTTACCCCTTTCCTAAAAACCAGGCAAAACTCAGAGGGTGGATGGATTTTGCCCACAGAAGAAATTGACTGAGAGGGGCACCAGGAAGCCTTCTGGGGAATAGTAAATGTTCTGTTATCTTGATCTTGGTGATGGTTTATACGGATGTGCACATAGGCAAAAATTCATTGGGATGCACACCTAAAATCTGTGCACTTTGCTATGGTATTCCCTCATTAAAAGTCCTTAAAAGGTGGCAACAATTTGAGAACTATCGTTCAGCCCAGGTTCCTGTATCTCTCTGTATAAGGAGAAGAATGCCAGTAGAGTCTCTGTCATCTGTTAGCTGTGTACTTGAATAAATTAACCCTTTGTACTTTAGTTTCTCACCTATATAGTGGAGATAAAAAATAGTACCTACTATACAGCACTGTTCTGAATGTTAAGTCAGATGATTCTTATAAAATGCTTCATGTAACACCTGCCTGGTACATTTAATGTGCTCATAAGATGTGATGTAGTGAATTTTTTCCCCCCTTCCTCCTCTGACCATCTAGTTTTTCTTATTCTGTTTTTCTTACTCCCCTGCACCTTCTTTCTTCCTTTCATCTCACCTTAAGAGCCAAAAACATGAAGTTAAAATAACTTTTAAATAACTTAAAAATAAATTTAAAAAACGTTTAAAATTTATTGGATAATTTACAGATATATTTATAATTAAAAGCAAGCATGCTTAGTATTTCCCATATCTTTCTTCCAAAGCCAGACCACATGACAGAACAATTAAATTACATATCTGGGCTGGGTCATAGGCATCAGTAGCCTTTAAAGTTCTCCAGGTAATTCTACTGTGATTCCAATGTGCATACAAGTTTGAAAACTACTGGATTAGTGGCTTTTTATTCCCTCCATATTGTCTCAGCCACTTCAGCTTATGGTTCTGAATCTTGGCTGCACATTAGATTACCTGACATACTTCTAAATGATACTGATGCTCAGGGCCCCACTCTGTGTAAGGGCCTGGTTATTTCTAATGTGAAACTATACTGATAGTCCCTATTCTAGAGGGATTGGTGTCCTGATAGATTTTTTGATTAGGGAAACACAAGGCATTTCTATCCATACCCTCATGCTGCTCTTAAGTTAAAATATATTCTCATGTTTTTAAAAACTCTTGTCTTTGTATCCTTGCTGATGCAAGCTGAACATGGAGAAGAATGATGTAATGCTGATATGTTCTCGGTTTATTTTGCCCTCAGTATGGGATTGTGCTGGATGCAGGCTCTTCTCACACCAGTTTGTACATCTATAAGTGGCCAGCAGAAAAGGAGAATGACACAGGGGTGGTGCATCAGATAGAAGAGTGCAAGGTAAAAGGTAAGATGAAGGAAAAGGGGAGAGCCAAGTGGGTAATGAGAACATGAGAAATGTATGGCAAGTGGAACACATGAGAAAAAGGAAGTGAAGGGAAGAACATAGCGGAGCTGCTATTATTACCGTATACTCATTATAAAAATAATACTGAAATAAGTCCTTAATGATCAAGAGCTCAAAGAATAAACAAACTTAAAAATAACTAACAGCAGATCTTATCAAAAGGACACTTCTGTGTGCCATGCACCAACTAAGTACTAAAAATGCATTATTTTATTTCACAATCTCCCATTGGAGTATCATTATTTCCATTTTTACGAAATAATTGCACTGTGGTTGAGAGAGGTTATCCCACTTATCTAAGGTTACTTGACCTAGTAAGTGAAGGAAAAGCGCTTCAAATGGAGATTTGCCCAACTTCAAAGCCATGATTTAGCCAGTTCTCAAATTTGAATCTGTATCAGAACCACTGGAAGAGTTTGTGAAAGCAGATCTGGGCCTCACCGTCAGTTTCTGATTCTTTAAGTGTAGGTTGGGGCCCCAGAATTTGCATCTCTAACAAGTTCCCAGGTGATGCTCATGCTCCTGGTTCAGAGAATCACTGCTCTTAATTTTTTATCCCCTAATCTCTAGCTTGGAAGACATTTTTTTTCTGGTATCATTAATCTACAATTACATGAGGAACATTATGCTTACTAGGCTCTCCCCTTCAAAAAGTCCCCCCCACAAACCCC